GCTTCCCCCTCACCACCCCTCCTCCCCACTTTTCCCCAAGGTTCTAACAGCCTCAAGGCACTCTAGAGAGAAACCTTATATGCTGCAATAAAATAAGGGTGAGTAAATTTAGCTTTTAGGAGGTATGTAGTGAGACAAATAGTCATTTGGGTCCTTTTTAATGCAGATAAATACATCAGGAAATTCACTTCAAATAATGCAAACAATACATCTTAGGGAAGGAAAGTAGTACTATACTATGACTTTCTACACTGAAAGAGCACAGAATGAGGTCACACAAATTAGGAGTAGAAAGAAATAGAAGTACCTATCATGTACTGTGTGATGTACATGTACTGTTTTGTGGTTACAACTGTGCAGGTTGGTTTGCTAATGCATTGAGACCATACAGAAGTTACATTTTTGGACCATACTAAAACTGCAGAAGTGTGGTGGACAACTGGATAATGATCACGTGTGAATTAAATTCTGTCATAATGTTTCAATATGTATAGAGTGGAGCTCAACTTCAAGTAAATTACCTAGAAAGGTTAATTTTAAAACTGACAGATTTTCAGATTAAAAATTACACTTATTTTGTACAGAATTATGTAAAACACAAATCTGTTGTATGTAATGAGTAACAGTTTTGAAAACAATAATTCTTTAGCTTTATCAAGGCTTTTTTCCTTCCAGAAATCTAGATTATCATGTTATATATAACCTGAAGTATCTCACCAGGATAACAGTGCCCTTTCTTTTTGTACATATGGATTGGAAATTTCTTTACTGTTATGTGGACACTTTCTATGTTAGTTTTGATGCATAATACTTTGAATCCTTTTATACAAACTAGAATGTACGTGTAAGAATTACTGTCACTGCAATGTAGTAACTACAAACTTATTTTTAAATAAATAGAAAACATGTTTTTCTAAGCTGTCCAACAGTGTTTGTTTCTATCTGGTAATTTACTGTGCTATGGGATGATTGGTTGTGTGTTTTTCAGAACTCCTTAAATTCAGCTCCTCTTGATTCCTTCTGGAATATGGAATATTTGTATCTGGTAGAACGGTATAGTGGGTAAGTGAGAACAGATAAAATTGGAACTGGAGCACTTTGATAATCAGAGATCAGAATTTGCTGTTTGGCAGGGGCCTTTGCTAAGCCCTGCAGTTCAAGAGGCACTATAAAGGCAGTAGCGTCTGGCACTGAAGACACCTTGTTGAGTCCTCTTAGCTCACTTTCACGTGTGGACCAGGGCACCTGCCTCTAACCCTCCAGGAAGCCTTCCCTGTTCAGGTGACAACTGTTTGTACCGGAGCTACATCCAGTCCATGGAAATTTCTGCTTCCAACAGCTCTAGAAGAAGCTAGAAACACTTAAGCAGAGAGAATCCCCTGCCTCCCTCCTGTAGAGTACTGGTCTGCAGCCTAGCTGCCCTGAGTGGGTGATGCCAGGAAAGGCAACATAGGATGTGTTTTCACAAAACTGCAGGGTTGGTTTGTTTATTTCTACATTTTTTTTTGTTCAATAGATGAAAGAAAAAAGAAATGTGGATTCTGTTTAATTTCACATTATTTGCTTTGTCAGATGATTTCCTTACGTTCCTTACCTGAAAACCCAAGGAAGTGATGGAAGAGACCCTCACTCACCTCACAGATGAAGGTATGTGTGCTTCTGGGCGACGGGAATGTGGAATGAATTGAGTTCCCTGTGACTTTCTAGACTCCATGTGAAGTCTGGCAAAAGTGAGACTTGTTTTAGCAACTGATGAAAAATCTCTGTCCCAAGTGTGTGAGTTTTGCTCATTGGCGCGTTCTGCTTGGAGAAAATCACTTAAGAATACTGAAAATATGACACACTTTGGTGCTGCTTTTTGTCCTGGAGGTGGTAGTTCTGTTGAATGTACATTTCCAGTATTGCAGCACAACAGTAATAGTGGTGTGCTCATCCAAGCATAAGCCACTCCAGGTCCAGGGTTTTAGTTTTGTTGCTGAGAATAGTCTTAAGCAGTTAACATTTTCTTTGTTTTGAAAATATCTTAAAAAATCTTCTCCTGTGTAACTCTACAAAATACCTAAAATACAATAGTATCCCTGTTCCCATTTCTGTGACAGGTATCTTTTGGAAACCTACTGTAGTTCTTTCACTTTGTGTACAAATCAAGGCTTTGCTTAGTATTAACAGATGTGAAATATTGGTACCTGGCAATGCTGTTGGACCATGTGCTGATTTTAACACATTTTAATTTCAGCAGGAAATTAAACTCCAAACAAGCCACACCCCAGCCCCTGCCCCTTCCAGTAAAGGAGAGACAAAAGAGGAGAGACTATGGGTAGAGATAACAACTTACTGAAACACAAAATGATGGAATAAGACACCCACAGTACAATAAAAAAAGAGAAGGTGCTTTACCCACAGAAAGGTATTCACCACCAGGAACAAGAACAAAGGTGGGGGACGGACACTCCCCATGGGCTGTGTCCATGCGGTTTTTCCAAAGGCAAGAGGATGATCATTCCTGCACGCTGCCCACATGGTAGTTGGGAAACAAAGGCAATGTGGTGGAGGAGCTCCCATGGCTAATGTTTCTCAGCCTAAAATAATGAAAACAGTGATAGACAAACTCCCCTGGAAGCTGAGTCGTCTGAGAACGGATTGCTCTGCTGCTCTGCTGAGCTCAGTTCTGTGCAAGTGCCTTTGCTGCCGTTTCCAACGCTCCTGTACACCGGGGCAGGGGAGGATGGTCCCATTGGGGTGCTGGCTTCCTGCTGTCCCTGATCACTGTCCCTGCAGTGCCACACATGGGAGCCACACCTCAGCCTTGCCTCAGCACCGTGTCCCAGAAAAGTATCCCAGGATGGAGTCTGCAGGTCCTTTGCTGTCACCCTCCTGCTGAAGCAGGAGAGGAAAAAGTGGCCAGCTTCCAGCAAGGGCGCCTGGCTTTTCCTGCAGAGTCCATGTCCCGGTGATGCAGTGTGTGACACAGAATAACAACTTGGTCACACCCACACTGCTGACTCCACCCCCTCTCTAACCAGGACAGACCATAATGCTCAGTAAATGAAGGAAATTGTGTGGTCGATGAAGTTGACCGTTTTGCTTTCAAAGTGAAAAGTTTTTGTGCCAAAGCCTGTATTCACTGCTCTAGCCATCAATATAAGCTTTGCAAAAAATGTTTGTCATTTTTTCCAAAGATAAATGAGCAAAGTATAATGGCTTTAAAAATTAATCAATGTTGCTTGTTGAAGCAAATGTGAAAATAAAGCAAGTGCCAGCAAGCAATGGACAATGTGACTGGAATTTAAATAGCATAAAGTTGAGTTACTGTACAACAAATTATAATGCAAAATATAATTTTTGTGGCTTTTACTACTGTTAACAGGAAACTCAAAGCCCAAAACGTCTGGTTGTTTTTCTAGCTCAGAGAAATATTGTGCAAAGAAATCTTTGCAAGAGGCTTAATTTACTGTTTGACAGGACTGCAGTGAGAATTTATGAATGTTCTCTTATACTTTGAAATCTGTGTGAGTGCTGAAGGGAGGACAGGGTAGAGAATTTGGGAATAATGTTCCTAGTCTGGTAACAGCCATATAAACTTCCTTCATGCTTCCTTTTCTTGTCTCTGAAATGGGAAGATTTTACCTAAACTTGGTCTGTTGGACTTTCATTTTAATTTAGCTCAATACGTAAATACCAAAAAAAACCCCACCCAAATGAAAAACCAAGAAGGAGGAAGCAAGAAGCAGGTAACCAAGTCATTCAGCATCAAATTTCTGCAGAGGCCTATTCCTTGAGGTACTGACTTCAAACAATGTTAGCATTCAAGAGCCAGGAAACCTCAGCTGTTAATTTGTGCTTTGTCTCAGATCTTGGAATCTGACTTTGAACAAGGACATTCAAAATAATAAAGACAGAACTTAAAATGCAAACCTGGTTAGAATATGATTAAAATATTAGAAAGAATTACTGTGTTTGTATTCTGTAGCAGAGAAATCTAGTGGGGTTATTTTTCTGAAATCTGAGCACCTTATTCAAAACTTGAATTCTCTTAACTATTAAGGAAGATGGAGTAAGCTTCCATGAACTGCTAAAAATTGGAATACAGCTGTCAAAAACTTTAAAAAAAAAAAAAAAGCTACTTACAATCCTTAATTAATGATTGCCTCTCAATACACTACCTATTTTTCCCCAGCTAGAATCTCAACATGAGGAGCTGGGTAAATGTGCAGTCTGTACTGCTGTTGTCCTTCACTGACACCAATTAGTCTGCATGCACAAGTACATGGGGAAAGATTAAATATTTAGAACTCAAAACATTTATGCTGTTTAATGCTTGTAAAATGTTTGAGGCTGTAAAATGTGTGCTAATGTTAAACTCTTCGGATAGATAAAGTTTACAAGGCAATCAGTGGTTAAGTTATTTAGGAAAAATTACTAGAAAATTCACATAAGCTTTGTCTTAAGAAAGGGCAGATCATCTGAAATTGTGTTATGGTTAGGATTGTTTATTTTTTCTTGCATGCTAATTTATGAAGTTGTGATTTTCCTCTGGCTTTGGCCTCTTTGCCCCCCTCTGAGTCAGAAGCACACAGGGCTGGTTTCTTTCTGGCTCTTGCACTGAAAATCTCTGCTCAAGCACATGGGGTTTTACAAAAACCTGTTTTGTAAAAGAAGCATCTTCATCTTGCAATTTGATTTACTTTGTATTAAGATGTCTTAATGTTTGGGTAGTAATAAGTTTCTTGAGTCACTTAAAAACCTTCAGCCTCCCTGAGGTAGGATCAGGTGTTTACATGGCTCCTGAGGTTTTGCTCAAGGGAGCTGGTAGGTCCCAGTGTTTACTGCAGCCTGGGCTGGGTGATGCAGACACAGCCACGATGGCCCCAGTGAGTCTGTTCTCCTTGGGGTGGGCTGTGTGGGGCAAATAGGCTGCTCTGAACCACCTGATCTCGCTGAAGATGTCTCTGCTTATTGCAGGGGGTTGGATTAGGTGCCCTTGAAAAGGTCCCTTTGAACTCAAACCATCTAAGATTCTATGATTAAAAAACTATTTTTCTTAGGGTAGAATTTGTATTTCTAGTCTAGGCTAATATTAATGTGAGTTTTAAATTGGGCATTCCTGCCATGTTGCACAAGTTTAAATCTATTAAGAAAATTTCATCCTAGTCCTGGCCTCTTATTTCCCACGTTTTCTAGGCTTGATAACATTTTTGGGTTTTTTTCAGTCTTGTCCTTTGGAGGGCTGTGTTCAGTGAAAAGTGATGGCTAGAACATTTCCTTTCTCTTGGTAAGGCTCAACGTTTACTACTGATGAATTTGTCTTCTTGCCTATAATGTTCCCATTGCTCCGATCTCTCTGGATCATTTGCAGTTTGAGTCTGCCTCCTCTGTTTGCTCCCACTGTGATTTGGGTGCCATCAGCAAATCTGCTTGCTGTTGTACTGGCACCACAGAAATCCGTGACACGGATGAGGCTCCTGGCCGGGTTTGACGCCCCTGCAGCAGCCCAGCAGGGGCAGCCCCGCAGTTTCTGTTGCTGACACGTGCGCTATGGAAACCACTGGGGAGCTCCTGCTTCAGCTGTGCCGGCATCCAGCTGTGACAAAGCCGGGCCAGGGGCTGCACCAGCTGCTCTCTGAAGTACCAACAGCGTTGTGGGAGGCACGACATGAGGCTGGCTTACAGAGCTGTGCTATGACATATTTTGCATAAACTTCACATGAGAGAACTACCACCGGACTTCTATTCATAGCCGGTTCAAGCCACTTGTTCATCCACATTCACAGAAAAAATACCTAGGTAAGGAAATTGAAAATGTTACTTTCTTTGTTAGTCTGAAGAAATAAATTTAAACTTTTTATTTCTTTATTTGAATCTCTCTAAAACTGTCGGAGTGTAAAAAATCTTTGCGGGTGTTTGTTGCGTTTTGAGCTTAAGAAATTCTGAATCCTTCTGCCCTTAGAGCTTTCTGTGTGAGGAAAAGGTGAGAGCCTGGCCCGCGTTCAGGCTCGGCTCTCGCCTCTCCGGGGTGCTTTAGGGAGTTGTTGTGCAGGGGAGGGCACAGTCCTCCCCTCGGGCCCACCTGCAGCCCGCCTGGGCGCGCAGTCGGGCCGGCCCGTGCCGTGCCGTGCCGTGCGGGGCTCAGCGGGGCCGGGACAGGAGCAGAGGCGCTGCGGCTCCCCCGGCGCTGCCGGCTCGGGGCTGCTGCGGCTCGACCCCCGCTCCGGGGTGCAGGCACAACGCGCTTCTCGCGGGCGTTCGGGTGCTTCCAAATATGCACAGAAATGTTTGGATTCGGACAAACTGTGTCCTACCGCATCCCTTCTGAGGGATCCGGCTGCTCAAAATGCCGATTTTAGAGACGGGAGGAAGATGTGCAGCGGCAGAACTTGTACTGCCGCACCGTGTAAGTGCAGAGGGCAGCGCGGCAGCGACCCCCGGGTCGTGTCCAGCCCTCCTGCCTCGCTCATGACTCTTTGGCTGAACTGTGACTCTTCCTCCCCCCACAACACACAAGGCTAACCAAGTACTCTACAGCTACTGATAACATCTAAAAGGCGATTAGGAGATGTTTTTTCTTTACTGGTGGTTCTAAAGCAAATGATGCAGAAGTGAAAAATACAGTTTGTGGTAAGGCTTCATCACACACTAAGATGTTTTCATATTCCTTACAATATTCTTTGAACCTCCTTTGGCATTGTTTTGTGATCTTAACTGCTTTTGTTGGGCAGTTTTCATAAATCTACCTTTTCATGTGCACATGTGCTGCATATATTACAGTAACACAAATTATTTTGCATAGTACATAAATTAGGACAGCAGGATATAGAAGCAACTGGGATCCTGTACTGAATTGCTTCTGCTTGCGGGCTGAGTATTCCACTCCAGGAGAGAGCAGGAGCTGTAACAGCTGCTCCTGGAGAACAGAGTGGGTGAATGCTGCAGTAAACCTGGGTACTCTGAGAACACAAGTGTAAAAGACTAAAGTCTCAAATTTCAGCCCATCTTAGTTCTGATTTGAAAAAGCCTCCCAGATGTAAAGACAGTAAATGCTCCTCAGGTGAAGCTGAATATCTTGATCATTTGGGGAAGGAGGAAAGAGTCATGAATATGCACTGGTATGGTGTTCCAGGTGCCTATGGGAATGAGAGGTGATGCCAAATCCTTTTCTAATCTAGTGGTGGGACTGTGGCACATTATCAACCTGATACAATGTTGTAAGTTGCCTTCAGCCTGAAAGAAAAACCCCTTAGTTCTGTCAGATGTGCAATTATCACTGAATCCAAACAGATTATTTTTGAGGCCATCAATCTGGTATGCCAGACATGTTTAACGCACTGAATCAGGTGACAAAGCAGCACAACAAATTTGGTTTACAGACAGCAGCTTTTTACTGCAAATTGGACAACCATACAAATTCCCAGTTCCTTTTTCTTTTTTTCCCCCCTCTCTGTTTACAGACAAAAGAGATGCCTGTATAAATCTTAAAAGCAGGGTTTTGGTGTCTTGTGTACTTTAGTCTTCTATTAACTTTTATAAGTACCATGAAATTTAATGCAGTTGAAGTGGCCTAAATTAAGTGTGCTCCAGCTGTAACCAAAATGCCTGAGTACAGATTGTACATAATATTGTGAACCAGAAGGAAACTTTTAAGTTCCGCACATCTAGCAAAGCTCACAGCTACGTATTTTGTCTCTTTTTAAAATTTTTCTCTTCCTCTTTTCAGAGTAGGGAGCAGTGAAGTGTCTTTGACGAAACTTCCTGTTGGAATGCCTCACATCAATGCAGCTGCAGCTCTGCAGATTTCCATGCTGCTCTTTGCTCTTCCTGCACAGTATTTAATATCTCAGTGGTACGGAACAGATTCTGCCGAGCGCATCCAAATAACAGAAAGGTTGTAAGGCTCCCCTTGCCTACTGCATTTATTTGTAAGAGAGTTCTCTTTCTCATCCCCAATGACACTTTGTCCTGGAAAGCTGAAGTGTGGGTGGGTTGGCTATTCCTATACAGAACCAACATTTAAATCACACCTCAGGCATTTTTGTGGCTTAATATGACTGTATTTAGTTTCAAAATTCAAACAGCAATTGTTGATTTCTTCACATAAAGATCTTATCACATATCTGCATGAGTGCCTTAACCTCATTATTTTTTGGGACATTCCAATATACGTTACTAAGGGTTATATCCCTTTCAAAAGATGAAAATTAAACATTTGTTTCTAAGTAACAATTGTTCTAATTTTCCATCACCTTTTGACATGTACTGTTATGAAATATTTTCTTGCATAGTATGAGTAGTACAGACTCGTAACCTATAAAATTCATTCACAGTAAGTGACTTAAGGCAGTGACAATGATAAGAGCTAAGTAAGGAGTGCCATTTTGTCTGTGAATTAAGAAGCTGTGTATTGACAGAATCCCACACACATATCTCCAAGTAAAAAGTGGAGACCATTACATCAGGTCCAAATTTTTGATTGTGGTGTCCATTGGCAAACATTGGCATCTTGAAAATGAACCATGCAAAGAGAGACTCAGTTGTACATGTGGCCTGTGCAGTGCACTGCCTGTGTGGTTCACCTGTGGAATTCCACCACATGAAGCAGGAAGAGCAAAAGATTGGTCTGATGAAATGAGAACTAGGCTTGGCTTATGCATAAAAACCCAGAGTGAAATAATTTTCAGGCCTCACAGAATGAATCAACCACTTATTATTTAGATTTATGTAAAAACCTGTAAGCTTTTTTAATAGTCTTTTGATTATGTACACCATTTAAAAAATATCTCATGCTCTCTATTCTCGAATAACCATTGAAGTTGCAGAATCTGAATGTAGTTTAACAATTCCTATGGTCTGAGTACAGGAAGAAAGCAATCTTGTAATGAAAAATGGTATTTTCCAAAATTTACATATGATTTACTGGTACAAGTGATGATTGAAAGAATATTCATTTGCAGTGTTGATATTAATCTTGAGGAGAAATTGTTCATGGTCACTGACCCTTTATTCTCTTTGCTACGGAAGTGAAACTTCTAAGTTTAAATATTAAAAATCTGTATAAGAATACTAGAGAGGGTTTTAAAAACAATATGATGACCATTTTTACTCCTAAAGGATAATTGCCTCTTGGAGCATCTCAACAAGATCTTACTTGCATCTGGATGCGTGGGCAGATTGTTTAAAGCTGTGGCTCTCGAAGACAAGGTAGGGTGTTACTGTCTGCACCTAGGAGATGTCAGCCATGGTCTGTTCTGAGCAGGAAGGTGTGCTGTGGGGGAAGTATCTCTCATTTGCTTCTCAGACTGATCTGGAAGTTTCTACACAACCATCATAACTGAACTCCATGTGAAACTAAATGTAACTCGTGGCAATATTCCTATACATGTTATCCTCAAAATTTATCTGACTCTGAAGGCAGAGCAATTAGCCAAATTAATGACTGTAAGCAACTACATGTTTGTAGGATCAGATGCTTTCGCATTGGATGGATATCTTATGTTCTATATTGTAGTTCAAGAAAATCTGAATTAGGAATCATAGACAGAAAATCTGTGGGCTAAGAAGTAGTGAAATTTTGATTATTGGTCATGTAACAATGATTGGTCTAGAAAAAGTAAAATTATATCCATTCATACATACACACCATTTTAATTTAAGAAGACTTCATGGACTTTCGGTTTGTTGAAGGGCTTATTTGTGAGATTTAATTCTTGTACAGTAGAAATATTCAAAAGGTTTTACTTTGTATGGACCTTCAAAGGTCCTTTATTCTTGATCCATGTACAACAATCAAGGATGTCAAGTCCTCTGAACTGTGAAGCATCCTGACTTAGTTTCGCTCCCAGCAAAACCTAGGGGAATGGTCTATGAATGGAATCAGAAACTGCTCTTCTAAGGTTCACCATACACTGCTTCTCAACTTCATGGAAAGCTCCACGCATATCTAAAGATAAAGCCTGCAAAGATCAAATGATCCATTGATTATCTGTATATAGTTAGAGCTGTTTGTGTCTTCTCAATATTTATGTTTATAAAGAATTGGTTATCCTAAAAATAATGTCATTTGAAACCTTTTATATTAGCTGCTGTTTTAACAAACCTGTTAGACACATTAAGATTTTGCCCATTCCTCTTTCTGTTAAGAGGTACTTGTCAGCCTTAAGTCTTTCTACACATGTAAGCTAAACCAAACTTTTGAAAAAAAAACCAGTTTGCACAGGAACCTGCTCTCACTTTCCTCCAGGCAGGGTGAAGGGAGTGAGACTGAAAGGCACCATCAAAGAGGAAGGAGACAAGGACAACCTGTAGTTCTTTGGCACCAATGGTTTGCTGGCTAGTATGGATGCAGAATGTTACCCAAACACCTCTGCTCATTGACTGCTGCTGTTACATCGACAGCAGAAGGAAATGTTCCACTGTTTTTTTACACATTTACACATTATCTTTATCACTATAGCAATTAAAAATGTTAGTAATTTCCCCTTTCAAACATGTCTGTCCCCTACTGCCCACCTTTTAAATTCAGATGAAATTCAGCCTAGTGCAGAAGGAAAAGCTACACCTACTGCAGCCTTAGGCAGGGACTCATTGCCAGACACCTTGTCCATACCAGTATAAATCAATTTTTGAAGACTTTACAAAAGATACTGAAGAATCATGCTGTTAGAATGCAGAACAGTGTTTTCTCACCTCTATAAAATTAGTTTCCTCTTTTTCCTGTTGAATCAAATTCCTTTTTCTTCTGTATTCCTTAAAAGTGTTTTTAATGTAAAACTCTCGTGCAGGCTTCAAATCAAATGCAGAACAGTGTTTTCTCACCTCTATAAAATTAGTTTCCTCTTTTTCCTGTTGAATCAAATTCCTTTTTCTTCTGTATTCCTTAGAAGTGTTTTTAATGTAAAACTTGTGCAGGCTTCAAATCGTAGAGAAGTTTGTATCTATGGCTTTGCAGTATCCCGCTCAAGATAATAACCTTCTGATTATTATTACAACTCATCTTCTAAAGAACTTGTTTGCATGTTGAGTTATTAATTTTACATTTTAGGAATTGGTACTATGGAGAGAACAAAACCGAAAGCGGTGATGATGAAGCAAAACCCCATTCTTATCTTGCAGGTATTGAAATGTTTGCAATCCTTTTATATTTGACTCATGATGCTGTCTATAAGGCTTCTTAAGTGGATTTCTTTACTTAATTTGTAAATGGCAGACTGTTTTCCTTTTTTCGTCTCTCTAAACATGATTGATAATATTCAGTAAACAAAACAATAAACACAAAATCCAAGACCTCTTTCCCGTATTGTGTAATAGTATCAATATGATGTAACTATATGTATTTTACTGAATACATCAGTGTAAGTATTTTGTACTGACCTATGAAACAGTGGTACAGCTTTCACTTGATCAAATGAACTGATTTAGACCAATTTCATAGAAGGTAAAAGAAATAGCTGACCACTTTGTTCCTGGAAAAAAGCACCTAATCAGTCTGAATACAATAATTCTGTGACCTAAACTGGCAAAAAAGAATGTCACAGTAAGTTACCACATGTAAGCACTGTAAAATACTGTATGTAAGGCTTAAGAAACTGTCAATGCACACACCTGTTAATGCTTTCTAAAACTCTGTTAAGATCCCTATGTCAAATGCATACAAATAGAAAAGTGTCTTTCTTAGTGGATGTTCCTTTGTAAAATATAGTAATTTTATAAAAATATTGTAAAATATAGTTCTGGCGGAAAGAAACAAAGCACCCATTCTTCTTTAATTCCCCTATTAATCTAATTATCAGTTCCCTTCAGGTAGAAGTCAGAATAATTTCTGTTAAAATGTTTAATATATCTGATCAAATTTATATCCCTGCTAAGTCTCTTTTTTTGTTAAATTAGAATCAACTCAGGTTCACAGTCCAAAGCCTGAATATGTTAAGTTCTGTGTGGGCCAGGTAATAATTCACAGAAGATTTGGCTACTCAGGAGTCATTGTCGGATGGGATGTAAAAGTTAACACTCCAGAAGAACAACTACAGCCTAGATATCCTCCAGTGAAACAGGTTTGAATATATGAAATGCTTGCTTTATTAATATATACACAGAATAACTCAGGTTAACATACCCTCAGGAACACTGGTACAGACCAACTTCCTGCTATCCTAGTGGGAAATGCTCCAGAGTTCTGTATCACCTGTGCAGCTGAGTGGTACCTTTGCTGCTTCTGCACTGTGGTCCCAGTATAGCTTGGCTTTTACACCACTGAGTGGCTAAGCTTCGCTGGTCACGACTGTAGTGGCCATATCTCAAATTAAAACTTCTCACTTTGTATTTAAAGTACCAGTGTCAACCTATGACATCTGAATGGATTTCTCCTGCTGTGTCATTGAAGTTGAGAAGCTCTTAAGTCCTTTTCTGGTTAGCCATAATTGGTGGCATCTTCACTGCACCTAAGAAATGCAAATAATCTTCTGTGTTTAATCAATTTCAGTAAGAAAGCAATGTTGTTGAGGATCTGGTTACTTGGAGTGTAAATCTATTTAAAACCATATTTTTAGAATTCTTAAAGCCTTTGCATTTCTCTTGCTTAAGTCCTTGTATTTGAAAATCAGATACTAAATCTTTGTTGACAGTGCTAATCTGGTAATACAGTGCTGCATACTCTGCATACCACCAACATGCTGCTTAAGTGGCAGGACGACACGAATCATTTAATCAGAGATCTGAAAATGAGGAAAATGTAAAAATATTCGCCTATAGCAGAAGATTAATGCTCAGCTGGGAACTGACATTCAGTCCCATTTTGTGCATTTGGTTCCTTCCCTGATGTAATTTTATACAACTATCCCTTATCTTTGGCTTCTAAAACACCTGCATCCTTGCTTTCTTTTCTCCTCTCAGTAGTGTTATCACCACCTGAACCCCCAAGAATTTCCCAGCAGACACTGATTCTTTTTATGTACCTTACATTGTTCTGCTGTCCCAGTGGCCTTGTGTTCATCTTTATTGTTTTAATTTCAAAAGTGATGAAGGAGTGTAAGCATCTTTTGTTGGTTTTGAGGTTTTAATGGCCTTTGCCTATCATGTCATAAGCACTTTGCAAAATGCCTTCTGACATTAGGCTTAGGCTGCAGCTTTCTGAGCTTGATCCTTGTAAATCCCTCAAAACATCAGCCAGGTTTTCAGCCTAACTTTTCCTTGCCTTCCTCTGACTTCCAGGTCTTTATGAAATCCCTGAGCAGTGGCCACTGCCTGTTCATTGATTGATACTGACTGCTTCATAAACTTCATCTGTATTCATCCATCACTTTTTTGTGTTTAAATCGTGGGTTACTTTGGGCTGGAATGTTTATGGATAGCAGTGAATATCATGGCCCATAATCCCTGGCCCAGGATTTGTTTTCACAGGCACTTCTTTGTTGGAAGATCCATGTTTATATACACATAGAAGTTGCCTTAGCTCTTTCCAGGGACCATGGTTGTTGGAGGTGGCACTATGTTCTGAACTTGTCTCTTCCTCTCTTGGAGTTCAGTTGTCACTTGTAAAGTAAAAAGGGTGGTAGCAGATGGCCATTGGGCCTATGTACAAAAAGCAAGGTTATTGTAAGTCTTGTTTCTTGCAAGGTGTGCAAGAAAAAAGGCTAATTAAACTCTTGACTCTTAAAAAATGTTTCAGATATGCCAAGAACTTCATGTGCTGCAGTTCTGATTCTTTATATTTAATTCTGACATTGGTAAAATCATAAAAACTAACTGGATGTGTATATATATATATGCACATATATATGTACACACACATATATATATACATACACACGTGTATCTCAGGTGGATTTAGGTTCTGTAAAGCCACTGAAAGTTAACTGATTATAATATGTAATCTTTAGTCATCATCTCTCTTTGAGGCTATTTATTTTCTTTCTATTTTTACAGGATCTAAAAGATACTCCTCGCTATCGAATTCTAATTAACAAAGCAAATGGATTTGGCAAATCTACAGCTTATGTTTCTGAGGAAGAGATAACAGTTATTATGGGATTAGAGGTAATATTTATTTTTATTCAGTTGCAAATTGATTGTTGTCCTATATGTTTAAAAGTTGGCTGACCTTTGGCTTAATAGATGCTAGCTAGGATGCAAAGTTAGTGAAAACTAATAGAGAAAGCAGATAAACAAATTACTGCTGTACTTCCAAGCATAGGTTTTTAAAGCTGAAAAATGACCAAACACAGGTAATACTCATTTTAAAGTATCCAGCTGCTGAGGTTTGTAAGTGTTTTTGCAACTTGGTTTCCATTATATATAGGCTGTTACAGACAGGCTTTTGTTTTGTGATTTCTGGGGATCTAGCAAAGTATGCTGGTTTCTCAATTCTACACTGAAAAAATCTCCATTTCAAACAGCTCCTGCTCAGCAGCTGCTCAGACTGAAGAATGTCTCCTTTCTTAACTGCAAAACTCTTCGGGAGCCAAAAATTCTGTTTTGTGTATCAGGGTTGAAGTAGCTTTTGATTCCCGGCTTATGCAAGGCACACCTGATTTTTAGACTAGTCTGAGACTCTGAGCCAGAAAAGAGCCTTCAGGCATGCATGCATGCAAGGTGGCTTTTTGCAAGGGACCCCTATGCTGTTGTGGATGCCTTCTCTGTGGACAGTGGCAGGGTCTGTATTTAAAAAAACAGTAAGTATATGAACCATTCATCTAACAAGAGACACTTGGTCTAGTCAAACAGAGCAGATTAAAATTGGCACATTCCTCTGCCTTTTGGGAAAACCTCCCAAAGGAATTGTGTAAGTCAGATTGGCCTGAAGACTCTCCATGCTCTCTCTCAAAACGGTGCTGCTGCACATAAACCACAGTGTGACACAATCACCTCTTATTTAGGCGAAGCCTTAGTTCAGTCCGTTCTGGTGTAGCCACCAATCGTAATATAGAATATGCCAAAATGCCTGAATTTAGGAGCAGAAACTATGCTGTTCTAGATGAGTATCATAAATATTTAAAACTGGATTCTGCCTACACTGTCTAGAAAATGCACTTTCCACTATGCCAGTTAGCTGGCTATGTTCAGTTTCCTTAATACTCCATCAGGAGAAACAGATACTTCATCTTAAATATTTACCTTGTGGAATTAACTTTTAACGTATCAAATAGTTTTATTTGATATGTGGCATGTGGCAGATTAATTCTCCACGCAGATTATTAGAGAAACTATTGGTAACAAACTCACAAAACCAGGTATTTCAAAGTTGTCTAGCTGAGATTAATACCAGATGGTGAGTCATGCCTCAAGTTCAAAAGCTCTGTGGACTGCCCTCACTCATGCCTCAAGTTCAAAAGCTCTGTGGACTGCCCTCACTCAGCCTTTTGTACAGCCTAATAGGCATAGTAATTTCTTGAAGAGTTGAGAGATCAGAAAATGCTTAGACTTGTCATGACCCCTTCCCAGCTGACAGTTCTGAGCCACTCATTGTGGGCTTCCTGCATCAAGACAAGGCTTGGATTGTCCTTGGTGGGTTTGCATCTTCATGTTGGACCTAAGGCCATAACCTGGGTCTGTCTTCATCATTTCCCTCACCACTTCTTTACTGTTCCTGCTGCCTCATTGGATTAGATAACTGATCCAGCTAAAAGAAATAACAAATATCTAACAGCAACACAAGTGGAAACTACTTCAGTAAGAAACAATGCTGATTTTAAACATGGATGCTGGTGTAAATCTAGCTTGTAACATCTCATGAGAACAAATACCTAACAGCAACACAAGTGGAAACTACTTCAGTAAGAAACAATGCTGATTTTGAAACACTGATGCTGGTGTAAATCTAGGTTGTAACATCTCATGAGATCTGTTCAACATTTGTAAAGTACTTGGAGAGAGCTGCTATTCTGATGGTTATGGTTACGGTACACAGAAAATGCCATTGAAATTACCTCTACGTACATTAAAAATTCATCAGGAGTTTTCAAACAATGTAGTAACTTCAATACTTAATTTAAGTATCAGTTTATTGTCAATTCTGATGCTTCTTCAACTTGACATATTTTTTTCTCAGGTGTATCACCCTGATATGGAAACCTACTTCAGTGGATATGATGGATCAAAATACATTATGCAGCCATGGTTGAAAAAACTCTACCCACATGACTGAGTACTTCAGTGTCTGTACGTCTAATGTACATCCATACAACAGAGCAAACAGACACCAGGACAAAATGTATATTTTTTCCTATGATGAAATAAAACATTCCTAAGCAGGTTTTATGTTGGACATTCACTTTTGTCAGAAGCAAACACAATACATGTTCAGTTTGTCATGACTCAGCAATGGGGATTAACTTCCTTCCAGTTTTGGGAGGAAAGGTAAGTGCAGTTTCAGATATAGCACAGTTTCAGCCAGGTCTGCCAAATGTTTGGCACATCAAATATCTTGCTGTTTTACAGGAAAAAAAGAAAAAAATCAGTTGTGAACTGTACTTTCAGAATTAACTGTAACCTTAATTTTAGGGGATAGACTTACCACAAGAATGAAGTAAAAAAACCATCAAAAACCACAAGAAAGCATAAAAATTTTATTAAGATGTGTAGGATTTCAAGGTTTCTAGGGCAACTTGTTTCTCCTGTTTTCTTTTCCCTTTATCTCAAACACAGCAAACACTCTACAAGAAGCATAAGCAGTAGCATTCTGGATTCTTTCTTGCAGAGTCTGTGAATCAGCAGAGAATGACAGGTGACTGTCTATGTGGCCTCCCCATTCTTTTGTTTCCTCTTCTTTTATCAATAAAGGCTTTCCCAATGCCTGGCCAAACAGTCGACAGACTTCCTGGGCTTTCCGGCGCGTGTTTCCAACGGCAGTGACACACACTTGGCGGCTGAGAGGTGGAAGCAGCAGCACAATAACAAGCAGGTTCAACTGATGTACCAGTGTTCCTGCCAAGCCTTTTGTTTTTAACGTCGCGGGTTTTGTAACTGCAGAGATGCTAAGGCACATCACCTTTCCCCAGCTTCTGAGCCACAGCTTGGGTATTGAGGGGACAGTGTGTGGAGCAAATGTCAGCATCCTCACTAATTCCGATGAGATCAAGCATTTCTAACACCTGCATGCTGCAGGCATCCACGCTGAGTTCAACCCTTGCTCCAGGCATTTCAGTGGCTCAGCTGCAAGGTATATTAGCACCTGCTTAACGTCACTGGCCATGTTTCCTGATCTCCTGTAGATACCTCTGACATTCAACTTTTGGCATCTCTGGAACCTTTAACAGCAGCTAATTAAGCTTGCTGCTTGGACCAGGCAGTTCTTTTCTCACAAGAGGCAAAACCCCAACCAAGACTAAACTTCCTTCTGTCCCTCCCACTTAGTGAGAGAAGACTGGACTGTGAATAGTCAATGCTGAAAACAGATCAAGATTGTGAGCTTCAGGGCAGCATGTTTTGATGCTGAGAAGTGCTACACATGGTTCTTTCCAGATCATGCCAGCTAACAGTAATGGGAATTGGCAAAGGTACTTGAAATTATCAACACCTGGTAACACACTTGCACCCTCCTCATGAATAAATACAAATGAAATCTATGCATGATGATGTAATCAAAGCCAAATTCTGTTGACCTAAGATTCACAGCAGATTATACTCCAGTGAAAATCAGTGGGAAAATAATTTTTATTACATTCTGCTTTTGCACAGGGACAAGAACAAATTCCATCTTCTAGGCTGAACAGCATTAATTTATAAGTTATACTTAAATACTGAAATCTCTAACATAAATATTAATAGGTGTGAAGGAAACTACTTGCTCCCATTGCAAACAGCATAAATTATGTATTCATATTAACTGAGGCTGTAAGATTTTTGGTGTGTGAGAGGACTTACCGAAGTGTGTCTATGGCTTCAGGGGTATGGTAGAAATGAGGTGGATTGATGGTAACAGAGGTTCCTAGCTTTTCAATGAGTAGATTGCAAACATTCTGCATTTTTCCAAAATCACTGAATATGATACAGACCTGGGAGTGAGTGAACAGACATCACATGAGTAATATCTTCATTTTCCACTATTACTCAACACTTTTATTTAAATCAGTATAAGGCCAGACATCTACAAGGTAATTAAACATACTAGTGCTGTATACAACTCCAACATTTATGAACTTATAAGACTTTTATATAGCCCTAGAGACTAGCATTAGGTTTGCAACAGAAAGAAGTAAATGCTTTAAAACTGAGGATTAAGAAATCCATTCCTCAGGAAATACAGAATTCTTGGTATGCAGACAATCTGAAGAATGAACGTGCTCTGGTGCACATGACTAGATGCATCCTGGTTTGTCCCTTCTTAGATTGCTAGATATTAATTATGCAGAAGCTCATACAAAATGATGTGGAAAACATTGCACACGAAGGAAAAATACATTTTAATTCCAAGCATTAGATTAAAGAAACCGCAGCTATGAGGTTAAGTTAAGCCACGCCCAGTTCAGCTTGCAGTGGGCTCTAAATCCTGTACTGTCTGAACAGACTCACTGCAGTGCTGAGAGGGAACTGGGCACTTCAGACTTAAAAACAATTTAAACACCTAACAGTCTCTGGCTTTAAGAAGCATTAAATGAAGATACACTAGAAAGTCAGGTCCTTCCCAAATGCTATGAAACAGCAATCACTATCAGCCCTGGATCCAGAGCCCAACAGTTTTCCTGGTGGAAAGTCCAGCCAGGCAGCAACTTTCCAGGCAGAAGCCAGTTTTTCTCTGTGGCAAAGCACAGCTGCCAGGACTGAAGCAATGACACTGAGCTGATACAGCATTGAGGAATCAGAAATCCTGGATCCGTAACATTTTTTTTTTTAAACTAAAACCTCATCTTCTCTTCCAGTACAGCACTCTGACCATGAGTCAGGTTCACCTTCTTTCTTATCCCCAGCTCCATTCTTTTTGCATACTAATACAGCTTCCACAGGAGTGGAAGAAAAAACCTGCAGTAAAGAAAATTCTACTGCCACCACCTGGGACATAGAGTTGCCCCCATGGCTGCTGCAGTCTATGTGACTGCAAGTCACAGTGAAGGGATATGACACAGAAATCCCAGTTACAGCATGTCAGTGGCACTGCAGCAGCTTCCTGTGTGCATACCAGAGATTTACCTTGTGCAGAATGAGGTAATTCAAGGAAGCTGAATCTCTCAGTGAGTGAGGAGGGAGCTACTTCATATGCAGAGTAAGGTAAAAAGTAATTAAGGCTCCCATCTTGTTACCCTTGATAGCCTTTTGGTGCAGTACCTGAACCTTACCCTGCCTTAGATCCTTGCACTGGTTCAGTGGCTCTGAAAGGTGCAGTGTCAATTGAACACAGACTGAAGATGAGGCTACACCTACAGTTTTTTCTTCAGTGGGAGTTTTTGCCATACATATAAAAAGCCTACATCCCCCTGTGATGTTTTGCCAGGAAACTGTCATAGCTGTATTTTGTGGAAAGTCTCACTATGAAGACTGTCATAGTGTTTTCCAGATTGCCATCAGTATTTACAAGATTTATTCCTTCTAGGAGATGAAACAAAAAAATGATGAAACAAAAGAACTATTGGTCTTAAGCAGGAAATAAATTATCAGGCTGGGGCACTTTCTATGAGGACTGTCATAGTGTTTTCCAGATTGCCATCAGTATTTACAAGACTTATTCCTTCTAGGAGATGAAAAAAAAAAGATGAAACAAAAGAACTATGGGTCTTAAGCTGGAGATAAATTGATCAGGCTGGGGCACTTCTGGGCACTCAGGAACTTTACTGTTAAACAAAAAGCATTTGATCAAGTACCCTCAAGAGCAGAAAACAACTGAGCAATAGCTGATTTTGCTGTCCCCCCCCCCCAAAAAAAAAATCACAATTTTCATTTAAAGCTACATCTAATGCATTCCACTTACAATTACAGAGAATACTTCAACATTAAAATGCAAATAACTGTTTTAACTTCATCAATTATTAAGGTTAAAAAGTGTGAAAAAGTAACATGAAGCTATGCAAAACTATTAGAGACATTCCAAGGTTTGGATAAGGCTGCAAATGACAAGAAGTTATGGTTTATAAGGAGGCAAGTGTATTAAGAAATGCACAAAACCAACATAATCTTCCTCCCATGAGAATGTCATGCAATAAATGAACTATTATGATAAAGATATTAAGCTTTGTGATCTTATACACAACTTGATTCTTCTGCATATTTTCCTTTGTTATAGCATGAATTAAAATTATCTCCTTACAGTTGAAAGAATATCTTGAATTCTTCATTATACTTTTAAATAGCTACACGCCTGGGAATTTTTCAGTCTTCTAAAAATTCTTTACAGGAGACAAATGGTAAAGAATTTACAGAATGAAGTAAAATAGCACATCCAAGACTTTACATATAACACAGATATAATGGCAAACTTTAACAGAGAAGTGAATGGAAGTGGGTTTTAAATTCATTTATATTGTTGAAGTAGGCAAATATGCTTGTCAATGGAACCTCACTGGATTATGAAACTAAACTAATAAAACAAGGATATACATACAGGGAGAAGCAAGGAGAGACTGATCTCTGCATTAAGAGTGGCCACACTGCTACCTCAGCGTGCAGGGCAGCCAAAACAGCAGCACTGTGGCTGGATTCTTCCAGTTCCAGCCCCTGGGGTCCCAGGCAACCACAAAACTTTGCAACAGCAATTACGGCTGGTCCAAGCTGCTTACAAATCAAGAGTAAATCTAAGCAAGTAGTTTTCCACATATAATCCTTGTTGTATAAAAACTAATAGCAGAAGATGGATAATTGGTTAAGTGACCACTTAAGACTGAAGTTGTAAGCCTAAGCTTGTCTGCAGCCTAAACAATAATTCATACAATAATTAATAATAGGGTTTTATTAATTTTTAAGTACAGGTCATCTACAAAACACGGTGATTTAAGCTCTCAAGGTAGTAGGTGTCTCCATGAGGAAGATTAAGTAATTCAGAACATAACACTGATGCACACCAATTAAGTATCTTAAGACTCATTTTAAAATCCAAATTTTGTTCTCCAAATTCTCAATCATTTCTGCATTTACTGGTGTTATTTAGATGAAAATATGCCTTAAAGCAAGCAAACTAAGGAGGCTGAACCTGTTTAAGAGGACTCTAAACCACAGCTCTATAAACCAGCTATCATTTTATTGCAGGTTTCCAGGTTTACTTTGTAAGGATCTCTAAATTTGCTGGGTAGTGATTAAAGTTTTATGGTCTAAAAAATACATTAGCTG